GTTTGAGAGCAATGGCGTTTTCAATAGAACAGTAATAAATGTGCAGTAAATGTGTCCCCTACCACTCACCTTTGACATGTATTTATAGATTTTGTTATGGGCTTGGGATTAGTGAAAGGTTAATCACGATCCAACTTCGGCCCAATAGCTTTTAGCAGCTACTTACCTAAATCTTAATCTGGTCAACTGGCAGTAGGCCCGGCCGACCTCCTGATATTTGGTCTTACGGCCGGCTCATATGAGTTGTTGTTCACCCGGATTACGAGCGGCAAAGTCGCGTAATTGGGTAATTACTGGCCATACGGACGTCCGGTCTATACGCTGCCCGGTCCCTACTGGTACACATAGGGTCGGCCGACCTCCTGATATTTGGTCTTACGGCCGGTCGGCTCATATGCTGCCCAGTCCCTATTGGTACACATAGGGCCGACCGGCCTCCTGATATTTGGTCTTACGGCCGACCGGCTCATATGTTGCCCGATCCCTACTGGTACACACGGTCCCTACTGGTACATAGGGTATTTACTATTTGAGAGAGTAAATAAGAATGATATGTGTTTGTTTCTCTCAAGGAATTTATGAATAAATAAGGAGATTATTTCAGGAAAAGATGTGGTATTCTCCCTCCTAAAACGAGGGATGAAGAATACAATTATGAAATGACTTTGGATTTTTTTTAATTTAAAACTCTATCTATAATAATTATTAATAATAATAATAATAATAATAATAATAATAATAATAGTAGTAGGAATGATAATAAAGAGTTTAATTAATGAAAGCAGGAAAAGAGTTGGAAATTGATTATATTTGATTTGAAACAGAAAGAGATATTTATGTTATTATGTTTTGATTTGTATGCTCTTTTAGCTCAAGGTGCTTTGTATTTAGAAAAACAAAATTTCTTTCTTCACCTAGTTACAATACAAGTCATGAAAGTTCTTGTGATGTTAATTTGCATGTGAATGTGTTTATGTTGGTTGAAACAAAGGACAAAATTGATTTGTGTGACATTGAGATAGTAGAGTGAAAGACACACATCTTTCTTTGGTGAGGAAATATTCCATGCATTTAAGGAAAATATTTTACCATGTTTGTTGATCCCTTATAAAGCATTTGCATCTGTCTTGTAATCTTTTTTTCTGTGAGCACCATAGTTGAAGCTTGTTTTGCTAAAGCCTCATTATCTCTTGATTGGTCTTTCTACGATGAGAAGCATGATTGATTTACTTTTGTTAATTGAAACTGTTTTCTTGAGTTGTCAGACCATTGTAGTAGGGATATTTTGTATAGGCCAAGTTACATTTTGCTTAAGGACAAACAAAGTTCTAAGTTTGGAGTAGTTTGATAACGGTAATTCTTACCATTATCTGAGGTTCATTTTAGAGACAAAATCAACTCCTTTTTAGCTTATTAATTGCTTAAATCCCTTATTTTAACTTGTTTTGGTGTTTTTTTATATTTTGGACTACAATGGTATAAATTCATCACTAATCCCTTATTTTGTAGCTAATATTGTGCTTGGAAGAACCTCCACCAATGTATAGAGCTAAACCAGCCACAAGATCAAGCAAATCTGCAAAAAATGGGAGAAAGAAGTAATGATGCAAGAATGTCGCACCTAGGCACCCCTCCAAGGGTGCTTGGGCGCCATAATTTCATGCTTGGGCGCCCCTCTAGGGGCGCTAAGCGCCATTTGCTTCAAAAATCTTGTGCCCGGACATCCTATCTAGGACGTTGAGCGCTATTCAATTCGCACAATTGACGCTTGGGCGCCCCACCTAGGGCGTTGAGCACCACTTTTGCTAATGTGGTAGATTAAGCTTATTTTACCCTAAAATGTGATGGGGTTTAGGTCTTTGGTTCTTTGGAGGTGCGATTTCACTGTTGGAGCTCATGGAGGCTGCGAGGAGCTTGTGAGAACATCTCCTTCTCTTCCTTTGGGTCTCCTTCTTCTTCCATCCACTATGTTTGTAAGCTCTAGGGTTCTCCATGAAAGTGGAACCATATTCATCTTGTTAGGGACTGTTGTAGCCTATGAATTCTTGTGTAATGGATAATTGATTCGTATTTATATATGTTTTTTCTATCCATTGCTAGTACTCTTGTCTCCAATCTTAAAGCTTGTATGTAATAGGAATGTTCATGACATGATTTTGGGGTTTCGTGGGTTATGAGGACGTAAGATGGAACCTAGAACTGAAATAAGAGTCCTTGTGGTTCATTGATTCTAGGGATGGAAGATGATTCACATGTTGTCTTAATATCTTAGCTCTTTAATGTGGGTTTTGCTTGTTAGATTTTCCAAGGGATTGAAGTTTAATAGGAAAAAGTTAGGCTCTTTCACCGAAGGAATTAGGGCTACAATGTTTTTGTGGATTGACTTTAGTAAATTGATGGAGAGGAGATGAAATTTGCTATACACAAGAGTGAATTGGTGAAAACTAACCTTAACAATGTCATTTCATATCATTTCTAGTCTATTTCATATTCAAGTGTCTCTAATGACTAAAGTCCAGCCTTGTAATTATTTGTGAAATTTTATCTTCTTTGCACTTGTTTATTAATTGATATGTTGTTTTTGAGTTTATATGAGTCGTTAATAGTGCAATTAACAAGTATTACACGAGTCTCTTGGGAAACGATACTTGGTCTTACCATTTTATATTACTTAAATGATTTGATATACTTGCCAATGAGTTAACACCCCCTTCTAGTGTTTTCCCACAACTTCAATCAAAACTCAAGGTTGGAAAACTTGAACAACACAATTGGAGCTCTACCTTTGTTTGTTAGCTCTCACCAACCTTAGTACACATGCCGACCAAGATGCCCCACCTAGCCTTCACCTCGATCACCTTTACTTCCTTTGACAAGAGACAAATTCGAAAAAGAAAAGATAAGAAATGTGAGGACAAGCGCTGAGAGGATTTAAAGCATGAAAGATTGCCTAAAGTGAAATAACAGTATAGAAACAAGTTAAAATCATCATCAACTCATCAAAATCTGCCTAAACTGGTAGCACCCATAAAAGTTGACCACATCAAAAGAGAAGCATGCCTAAAGTTGGCCTCATAAAAACGAAGCTCGCCTAAAATCAATAGCATTTAAGCATTGGTTGAGGTTGGCAGCACTAAGCAAAGACTGCTAAAGTCGACATCACCTAACTGAGCATGCCTAAGACGACAACCTAGTATAAAGTTATACTAAAGTCCACAACAAAAGTTGGAAGACTCTTCTTACATAACAACTTTCGATGAGCTCGCTCAAAGGGCCAATCCACTTACAAAGCTCGACCAAAGGAACAATCCACCTACACAATTCAACTAGAGGGTCAATCTACCTACACATCTCGGCTAGAGGACCAATCCATATAAACAACTTGGCTATAAGTATTATTCTAATAAGAACATAAGTATATTATGCATGTTAATCCTATAAAAACACATAATATTTTTCAAAGAATACTCATTTCATACATTTCACAATTATTCATACTCATTATATTTATAAATATCTTAAATTCTTTTACTGATTTAGTGTTAGAGAATTTTTTGAAAGTGAGTCTTCTCCCTATATGAACAAAAAATTCATTCCCTCTGGTTCTCTCAAAATTACTGTTAAAACATTATCAAATATACAAATCTGCGTTAAAATTTGGGTAGTTAAAATTTGGGTAGTGTTTAAATCATCCTTATTTTGTTATTAAAATTGAATAGTGTTTAAATCATTTTGTTATTAAAATTGAATGTATGGTTAATTTTAGTGATTTCAACCTCAGGTAATATATTAATGTCTTTGATTTGGTGTTTATTTGTTCATTAAAATCTTGAAAAAAATTAAAGTAAATTATTTTCTTAATTTTAAAAATGTTAAACTTATATTAATGAAGCCATTTTACTATGGTGAGTAAATATTTAAAATTGTTTAAAAATATAGTTTAGACAATAAAAGTAAATTGTTTAAATGGTTTGAACAAAATTAGTTCCTTTTGAATTATTTAAAACTATATAAACTATATTATTTTAGCCTTTTAAATTCTTTAAAATTATAAGAATTAAATTATCAAAAATCTATAATGACTTATAAAAATTATAGGAAATAAATTATATCTTTATTTCTAAAATTAATTTATGAGATCTTTAAAATTAAGAAAATATTTAAGATTATAGTTAATTGTCGCATATAAATATTAATTTTAATTAAAATGATACAATATCAGAGTATTTAAAAGTTATATTTACATTTCTAAAAAGAGATAAAAGACAAATGTAGTTTGTTACACGTATTAATAACACTAAAATGTAGCTCTGATTCTCCCTATCACACAAGGATTATATTAGGTAAAACTAGATACATTCCAGGTTTTTATAGCAACTACTTTGCAGGTAAAACTCTCTTCGCAATCCTAAAGTCTGATCCACATCGAGAAAAATAACTTCAATGAAATGAAATAAAAAATGGAACATGCATTATTCTCTAATTAGTTTAAAACCAATAAATAAACGGCACCATTTTTATTAGAAAAAAATATAAATAATACCATCAAATCATTAAAGACAAAAAAGATATCAAAGTAATTTAATTTACATAACTTAAATATTATAATATTTTTTTTTTATCCGTTCAAATCAATCAAATAAAAGATATTTTCCCAAGTATAGTATATTTTTTTAATTAATTAAAGCAAAATAAGACAATACCTCTTTTGTCTTATAGCCAAATGCATTCTTAATTACGATGAATATGGAAATGAAAATAATTATATTCTAAAAGAGTATCTTTAGTTGTAAAATAAAAAAGTGGTATTTAAGATTAAGTAAAAAATTGTAGTTAAGTAAACCGTGATTAGTGGGATAAACATCTGTTGGCGCTGGCACCAGTCACCGAGTCAATTCACCAACTCTACGCTTTACCGGTGCGATTCACTTTATTCATCCATTCTCTCTAACCCTAAACGCTCTCCGCATTAGGTTTTCTCTTCTTCATATCCAATTTCGATGGCGGCGGCGTCGCGGCGGCTGCGGGACCTCCAATCACAGACGGCGAACAAGATCTGCGTTGACTGCACCCAGAAGAACCCGCAGTGGGCCTCCGTCTCGTACGGCGTCTTCATGTGTTTGGAGTGCTCCGGCAAGCACCGTGGCTTGGGCGTTCACATCTCCTTCGTCCGATCTGTCACCATGGACTCCTGGTCCGAAGTCCAGATCAAGAAAATGGAAGCTGGCGGCAACGATAAGCTCAACGCCTTCCTCGCTCAGTACTCCATCCCCAAGGAGACAGACATCGTTACTAAATACAACACCAACGCCGCCGCCGTCTACCGCGATCGGATCCAGGCCATCGCCGACGGTCGTCCCTGGCGCGATCCGCCGGTAGTGAAGGAAAACCTCGTAGCAGGCAAGGGGAAGCCGCCGCTGACGCAGACGCGAAGAGCTAATGAGGGGGGATGGGACGATTGGGACA